CCCACCCCAATCCCGCCGCAAGCCCCCCACAAAATGTGTGGCAGCACTTCAATTACTACTTACTATTATTAAATTTCTCTACCAATTGTTCCCAGTTTCAATTGTGGCCGTACGTTGCACAGAATCGAAAGGATCAAAACCATTCTTATTTCTTTCATCAAACACCATTCTCACTCGATCCCACCCATACACACACACACAGATATATATATATATATATATATATATATATATATATATATATATATATATATATATATATATATATATATATATATATATATATATATATATATATATATATATATATATATATATATATATATATATATAATAGGGTTTAGGAACAAAATAGGAGTAAAATATTGATTAAATCCCGAAATAGGAGTTGAAAGATAAAATCTCCAAAATAGGAATATCCTCTTCTCCACTCAATTGTGTCATCATGTCATGGCCTGCTCAATTGTGTCATGCCAATGCTGCTCAATTGTACAAAATTTTCATCAACGCCGGATCCCCAACCGCTGCCATGCCCCTACTGCCACGGCGCCGAGCGCCTCTACCATCATCGATGTCGATGTCCCTTTAATCTCAGTCACTGCCGCCATGATAAGCTACTTCAAACTGCACCATTTGAATCTTAGCGGCCGCTGTGTCATTAGGCATTGATTTTGGTTTGGTTTTTTTATTTTTGTATTTGATTGTTTTTCTTTAAATTTTTTTTGTTTGATTATTTTTCTATTAGTTGTGAGTAAATTTGGCTCTAAATTTGAGCAAAATTTGGTGATAGTGATAAGAAACTTGACATTGTATGTTGGCAATCTTGATATTTCGCTTTCTTTTTCACATTTTTATGGAATTAAATCGAGCACAACACCCAACTTGCAATCTTATCTAGCTCTAAATACATCAACGGTAGCTATGCGTGCACCTCATCGTCTTTGAGCAACTTATCGAATGATATATCTTTTGAATATGCCCTATATGTATTTTAAAAAAAATATGATATGCATTGTATTCCCTCCGTCCCAAAAAGTTTGTTACGTTTAGAAAAAACTGCGTCCCGTAAAGTCCGTTACATTTCTATTAAAAAACCACTTTTACCCCTTACTTTTTCATACCCTACCTATCACATCATACCTTTTTTCTAATAATCTACCCATCACATCCTACTTTTACCCATCACATCAAGGGTATTTTTGGAAAGTCAATACCAAAATATCTCTCCCTTAATTTCTCAAAAAGTCAAACCGTCCCATTCTTTTTGGGACGGAGGGAGTATTTGGTTTCTTAATTGTTCATTTTCGTCAGTTATTGTTTCAAAACCATTTGATTTGCAATGAAGAGTTTTTATTGTCTAAACTGAACTACAAATGTAGCTTATAAACACCTATGGACATATAGTATTATTGTCGGGATAAAGATGCAGAGAACTTTATAAGCCCAGCCCAACGCAAACTGATGAGCATCAGCAAGTAAAAGATACTCAATTAATCAGCTTTATTTAGTAAAAAATACTCTATACATATTCAATGACAAAAGTTACAGGTTGCCTAAATCAGAGTCTAAACAAATTGCAAACTCTAATTATATGGTTATAAGAACAATAGATATATATACACACACACTGACAAGCCCATCCAAGGTCAGAAGCAAAACTGAGCATACTATACAGCACCTGAAATGATAAGAACAAAACTTTTGTTAGACATAGGTGATTTGATTGGCCTCATCAAAGATTCATCCCAAAGCATATCATTCCCTTCACATTCAAGTTTCAATTTTGGGTAGTGAACAGAATGCTTGACCTCTAGAACGTCTCCAGGAACACTAAAAAAAGACAGAAAAAGTATAATAATATAGCGAAAGTACTCCATAAAGTATTGAATGCGAGATTGCATACACACAAACTGGGAAAAGCTATAGCTAGAGAAGGCAATGGTTAAATTTATACCTTACCTGAGGTTATATCAAGCATGTATTGAATCGTGCATCAGCGGATTCGGTTAACATGAGCAAACGGCTCCGGATTGGACTTGGGAACCTTTTTCTTGACTTCAGGCGTTCCAAAAACATTCCATAATCTTAGTGTTTCATCACCTGCAGCAGATGCAACAGTGCAACCATCTGGGCTCTGCACAACGAATATATGACTGTGAGTATATTTCACCACGCACCGTGAAAGCAATCTTTTGATATTAAATTTGTGAGAACAAGAAGAAGAAAGACAGTCAAACCTGAGCCATGGAAAGAACTCGAGATGTATGTCCCCTAAGCTCTGCCATCTTAACCATTGATGGGTATTTCCAGAGAGTTAGCTGATTCTGAGTAAAGCCATGGGAGCTAAGCAACTCACGCTCATTCTTGTTCCAAAGCAGCGCGGACACCTGAGACCCTGTATGAACTGAGCTCACACATGCACCGGTTTGGGTATTCCAGAACTTAATGCACTGGTCTCCTCCTCCTCCCCCGGAGGCTAAGAGGTTTGCCTGAAACGGACACCAGGCAAGTGCCTTAACTGCAGCCCTGTGTTCTTCAAACCTGTGAAGCCATTGAGTTGTTGGGGAGGCAGTCGATGATTTGTCCCATATATATAGAAGGTTATCATCTCCTCCGCTCGCCAAGTGCCGGCCTGAGGCAGACCATTTTAGGCCGCACACTTCATGACTATGTCCTCTGTATGTTTTTACAATATGTGATCTCATCCGGACGTCATTGTTGATAATCAGACCATCCATCCCACCTGTGGTAAGTATATGCTTGTTCCAATCAAGGGCTCCCACTCGTGATTGGTGGCCACCTCTCAAAGTTCGCAACTGCCCTAGTATCAGACAACAATAGAATAACGAAATTTCAGTATTTATTCAATCAATGAAAGAAAAGAAAACCAAAGCTGGACATCAGAATTAAGAAGAAGCATACCAATCTGTTAGCCGTGGAATCCCAAAGCTGGACATCAGAATTATTCAATCCAACAGCAACATGCTTTCCATCGGGAGCCCATTTCACACTCGTGACAGGACCAAATTCATCATCAACCGTGACCAGTTCAGATGTTCTGCGCTGAGAAGCATCCCACAGGTAAACAGTACTGCCAAGAGCAATAGAAAGGACATTGCTGCTTCCCCAATCTAGTAGGTTCAAGTAGTAGTCATCCACAATGTCTGGGGCATCTAAAGTCCTCTCGGATGTCTGCAAAAATGAACCAATCATCAAAACTATAAATAACAACTTTAAAATTCACTCAGTATTGAATAAGTAAAAAAGACTCCTTTCTACCTGAGGAATGTGGCGAAGAGGTTTTGTAGGTCTGGCCTCATAAGAGACAGAAGAATCCTCGTACGGAAACCCACGCAAAGGGGTGGGTGGTTTGTCTTTAAAAGCAAGGATCCTCCGGTTCATGTTGAAGACCTCTACAAGATGCTTTTGATATGCTTCG